AATATGAGCATGATATTGCTATCTTCGTGCATCGCGCACATTTCTGTCTGACAGCAAGTTTGCGCTTGGTCCCGAATTGGGACAGACTTCATTGATATTGGCTCCTATGTGCTGTAACGTATTGCGGCTTATGTAAAGGACCCGAATGAGGACCCTTTAAATCAACCATTAGAAAGACCGAATAGACTGCGTCCTTTGACCTTCCGGCATTTCGGAAGGGTTGGGATCGGCACTCAATATGAGCATGATATTGCTATCTTCGTGCATCGCGCACATTTCTGTCTGACAGCAAGTTTGCGCTTGGTCCCGAATTGGGACAGACTTCATTGATATTGGCTCCTATGTGCTGTAACGTATTGCGGCTTATGTAAAGGACCCGAATGAGGACCCTTTAAATCAACCATTAGAAAGACCGAATAGACTGCGTCCTTTGACCTTCCGGCATTTCGGAAGGGTTGGGATCGGCACTCGAGGGCCGAGTCGTAAGGCGTCCTCACTCGGGCCCTTCTACTAAACCGACTTAATACGTTATCACTCAATTGACCAAATCAAGAAGCGTCCTCGTTCAGAATGTCCGAAATGAAAGGCATCTTTGCTCGGTCGCCCTCGAAAAGCCGAGATGAAAGGCAGTTTTTCTCGAATCCCTCAACGACAGTCAGTCACCATAACATTAAAATGCATAGCCAAAGTCATCATTACATCTCCTCTAGAGTCATAATGGCCCATCGGAGCACGCTGGCACCACAACCCCTCTATCTTCACCACAATAAATATGAGGATGACTCGGATCACCCGTTGCTGACAACTGTAAAGTATCAGCTGACCACGCCGGCTGTTTGGATTTGGCTGAAGTTATGCAAATACCCTTCAGAATCTACTTTAAATAAGCGCATCGCCTACTGCATTGATCAACGTTTGAACTACAACCTACAGAGTTCATATTTTCCTCACCTAAGATCAATGCTGACTTGATCATCAAAAGAACCACGGGAGAACCCAACTCCGATCCTTTTACGTATTGTTTGTGTTGCAGGATTGAACTCTCGACTCAATAATCATCCATCAAAGAAGGCCGATGGACCCTAAACACTCTATAACTCACACAAAACCCTACTCTTAAACATCTGACATCAATTATAAACGTCAATTCTATACCACAACTTTGGAGAGTTTTGGTACAGTGACACAAAATTTAAGATATTATAAGAGCAACAGGGGGTGAGACTGTGGGTTTATTAAGAAGAATCCCAACTAATTAAATGCCCTCCTAACGCTACAATCCAAGATGCAAAAAGATTTGCTCTCTTATCTTCTCTACTTAATTAATAATGCGAGAGTAGCCACCGTCATTTTGTGAAGAAGACTTCAGTCTCTCCCCACTGCGGCTACACGTTAAACATACCCGCTCTCTCTCACTGCCAACTGTTCACAGAAGCCCCACAACCAAACACTCATCTTCTCTCAGTGCTCCAAAGCCTCTCAACTCTCAGACCTTTGACTCAAGCTAGCTAGCTCTAACAATGGCAGCTCCCCTTGCTCGCCTCAAGCTCCTCCTCGCTCTCCTCATCTTCTTCCTCTCAATCTTCATCTCAAACTCCCAACAACTCCACTACTCAGAAGGTAAACACTAGCATTAAAAGCTCCAAATCACAATCACCTTCTTCTTCTAGCTCCTCTCTCTCTCTCTCTCTGACGACTGATCTCTTAATTAATTTTATCTTCGGCCAGTGAGTGCTCTTCGACGAATAGCGAAGGCAATTGGCAAGACCAACTGGGACTTCAATGTTGATCCCTGCACCGGAGGAAGCTGGACTGTGCCGGACCCGGTTAAGGGACCTGGGAGTGCTGTTGTCTGCGATTGCTCCTTTGCCAATGGCTCCGAATGCCATATCATTAGCTTGTATGCTACTTTCTTTTCCCCCGCTTCGTTTTTTTCTGGGGGGTTTGGTTGGTGCAGGTTTTGTGATATTTTGGAAAATTATTTGCAGGTCCATAAAAGGGGAGAATCTTTCTGGCGTGCTGCCGTGGCAGTTCATAAGGCTGAAGCATCTGCAGCAGCTGTAAGTTTCTTTATTCTTCTTTTTTTTTTGGGTATGGGGGTAATTTTTCTTGTAATTGGGAAGTTGCTGCTGCTATTGGTTAATTTAAAGCTAAGCCGCGCCCATTAACGATGTCAGAGATCTTAGCCGGAATGTTATCAACGGTACAGTTCCGAGCGAGTGGAGCAATTTGACGCTAATTGGCCTGTGAGTACCAATTTATTAAGCTAATAGATTAATATATTACTGACAATAAATTTTCTAATTAGCATTTAATAAAAATGCAGGCATTTGATGGGGAATCGCTTATCTGGGCCTTTCCCGGAAGCGCTCACCAGTATCACGACGTTGAAAAATCTGTACGAAATTAACATTAAAAACATCCTTTATTTGTCGGGGGGGTTTTGCATGTATACCCCTCACATCTTTAATATACCTAAGACTAGCCCTCGAATTTTAGTATTTGCAAAATCATCCCTTTAAAACTCGAATATTGAGTCTTTCTATTGCTCCAGCATTAGGATGTTTGCTCTTTAAAGAGGACGATGCTAAATTTGCCAATAGTGTACGGTATATTTGCAACAATATAATTTCCCATTTAAAAACTGAAAATGGTAAGTGAAAGGGGTAGAAAGAATCAATATTGAAGAATCGAGGGGCACTTCCCCAAATATCAAAAATCTGAATGGTAAGTTTGAAAATAGCAAAGATTGAGGGGTATATATGCAAAATCCCCTTATTTGTTTGTTCGTTAGCTTGTTGGTTCACCATAAGAAATGTGTTCTGCAGGAGCATCGAGGGGAACAGATTCTCCGGGCCGATCCCTGCCGGAATTGGAAAACTGGTTAACTTGGAAGCCCTGTAAAAATTTCTTTCCAGTCCTACTTGCGCTATTTTGTTTTTTTCTCAGTCCAGGATGGGGGTTTTTGATGTAACTAATGGGGAACCAAAAAAATTTCAGCTCCTTATCAGCCAACGAGTTCAGTGGAAAGCTTCCTTCAGCTCTCTCCAAGCTGACCAATTTGATTGATCTGTAAGAATTTCTCTCTAATTTTCACAAAATTTGGGTTTTTTTTGTGGGTTTTTTCTTGACATGGGTTCTGGTTGAATAGGAGGATTTCTAGCAATAATTTCTCTGGAAAGATACCAGATTTCGTAATGAGTTTGAACCAGTTGAAGAAACTGTGAGAAAAATGCTTATTTACTGTAAATTTGTTAATTTCTTTCCTAAACAATAGTTTGTTAAATTGAAGTTTTGGTTTTTATGATACAGGCACATTCAGGGTTCTTCAATGGAGGGGCCCATCCCTTCTGCTATTTCACAGCTGGCAAATTTGACTGATTTGTACGACGCTGAAAGGCACTCTATTTTTAGTCAATTCTAATTGATTAATTGTGTTGATATTTGACTTCTTTTGATTATTTGTTTATTATTAGGAGGATTAGTGATCTAAGAGGTAAAGGGTCAGTCATGTCAGATTTGAGTGGAATGAAATCCTTGAGAACAATGTGAGTTGGGTTAAAAGAATTTTGGTTTTTTTTTTTGGTTCAATGTGTGTTTTTTTTTTTTTGAGATTAGTTTTGTTGTTTGTTTGTTAGGATGCTGAGGAACTGCTCTATTCATGGAAATATACCATCTTATATTGGAAATATGAAGACATTGAAGTACTTGTAAGTTTTATTTCTTTGATGTCCCCATGAGAAAAAAAAAAACTTTTTGTAGCGATTTTGCTCTTAATTTAGTGCGATTTGTCTTTCCTTGATCTAGTTTTTTTTCCCCCTTGATGGGACATAATCTATGAGTTATTTTCTTGTTATGGAGTTTGCATTACTGACATGATGTTCTGTTGTTTTGACTCTTGACTTGCTATATTAAACCCACCGCAAAGAAGATGTATTATTTTAATTGTGATCAAAAATTTCAATATTAAATGTCTTCATGGATCCATCAAGAAAGATATTCTATATTAAGAGAGTGCTCTAAGAGGGCCTTTTAGATGTACAGCTGTACAAGCATATATGCATGTATGTTAATCTCTCTTTATTAGTAGATATATTCTAGTTTCATCACTGTGTCACTGCTCTGCGGTGATTACATGGCTATGTATGTGCTAGAGTTTGATTTAACTTCCTCATGGCTTTGACGTTCTTCTAGGTAAAATTGGTTGGTAGACTGTAGATGTGGAATTCATTTTCTCTATATCGAGGGGTAAGATATCATCTAGTGAACAAGGAAGAAAATTGGATCAAGCCCAATTTTGCATCTCTTCATTGTATTGTCAGTCTTTGTTAGCAATACCAATCTGTTTTGTTATCCAACTGATTCACAGTCGGGTATTGCTATTGTTTGACCTATTCACATATCTCCAAACTCAAGATTAAAATAGTGTGCTTTTATATGATAGTGAGGAATGATATCAATGAGATGTAAAATGTGGAGATACTATATTATGCTGAAGATGTGTGATTAAATGAATGTAGGTGTTGCTGAAGGTATTGAATGAAATTAGATCTAATTGCCAAGTAATCTGCAAGGATTTTTTGACAAGCCCTTCTCCTATAAACAGTTACCTTATTTAGTAATTTATAACCTACTTACGGGATGACATTGCAAATTTTGTTGAATATTTTTCTGAATTCTAGCTGACAAATTTTGAAGAGGAAAGAGCTTAGCTAATTATGTATAAGTATATATGGAAGGGCCACCTTGTCATTTCTTTATAGTTAATTCTTTATTTCCTAATATAATCTTTGTATTTATATTTTTACAAGATCTTCGTCTCTTGAACATTTTCCTTTATCCTGATATCATTAACTTCAGTGCTGTTGTCTCATACAACTTCGATTATTCAATTTACCTTCAGTATGGTTGTAGTACAGAAAGAGAGTGGTTCCATTCCCAGTGTACCATTTTTACATGTATGGTTTTCTGTTCTTTGAGATGCAGGGATCTCAGCTTTAACAATCTGACAGGAGAAATTCCAAGTACTTTCTCAAATCTAGGAAAGGCTGATTTCATGTAAGTTCATGTTGTTGGATGGCTACTTGTGTTCCGACTATGTGTGTGTGTGTGTGTGGCAAAGAGAGAATTACACTTTTCGTTTTAGCTGGTTATATTCCTTTTATCATCTTCTTATTACCAATCATTTTCTCTTTTGGTACCCGGTAGATATCTGACAGGCAATATGCTTACTGGGACTATACCCAACTGGATATTGAAAAGGAACAAAAACGTGTATGTATAAACTTCTTCTCTTTGACTCAAGAATCGTTTGACTATTACATATCAGTTTGTCTTTTTGTTACTATTAGCTGTTGGTTAACAGCGAATCTATAATATAAACTTTGTTGTGCGCAGCGGAAATTTCGGCAGCACCTCCGGTGCGTAAGGTACACAACAAGAGATTAGATCACAATGAAATTCTCGTTTCTCAAAGGAAACAAGAACCAAAAGCCAGATATCTCATCAAAGTGAGATATCAGCTCTTCCTCTCGTCAGCTCTAGGACTGCGTGTCGAGGAAACCTATAAGCTATTACAAATCACGGCAAGAACACAAATTTTACGTGGTTCGGCAAATAGCCTACGTCCACGGGGCAATGAGGGGGGAGATCTACTAATAGAGGGAGAGAATACAACTAGGGTTTACAATCACTCACAATCTAAACCCTCAAACAAACTCTCAAACCCCTCATAATATCTCTCTACAAATAAAACAAAAGGACTGCACAAAAGCTTCAACACAGCCGCAATTTGTCCTCTGTGTTTTTCACCTGCAGCCACAAAAGAATTCTCTTTGCACCTTCGTACTTGCACGTAGCCAGCCGCCAAAAAGGAAAACCAAATCACAAATCTCCTTTGCACTCTGTCGCAACCAAAAGAACACAACAAACAATTCCTTACCTTGCACGCAACCCTAAAAAGTCCTCACACTAATATTTATAGCATGAGAGTCGGATGGGTCTGGCCCTTTAATCACATGGAAAACGAAAAACCGAAATCACGTTGCTGCTCACGTGATTTTCCTCCCAAAACTCATGTACTCAAACTCGTGGACCCCGCACCACGTTCACAATTCTTCACCTCGGTGAAGTTTTTTTCAAAACTGAGCCGATACCGACCACACCAAATGCCTCACTTGTTACGTTCAGTACGTCATGGCAACGGACTCATAACAACGGATTCCATCCACAACAAGTCGAGATCCAAACGGGAGTGCGAACACTCAACCAAACGTCGGTATCTACTCACCAAATCGGTCTCACCCCCATCAAAATCAACTAATCCAAAACCGGCTGCATCGTAAAGACTGCCTACGTATCCTCTTGTCCAAGGAATCAAGCCTTCACGTAGTTCACCCAAATGACCGCTAACGACCTCAATCCAATAGAAGAGTTTGTAACCCTTCTCCAACATCACGATCAAGTCTGCGGCTGATAGCACCTTCAATGGCCCTAAACTGAAACAATCCAAACATCTCCACCTGAGATGAACCAATGGCCATATCCAGACTACATCTATCAGCTGTACTCGAATCAATCAACCTATCATCTGCATCCAAATCAACACGATTCCCAATGTGTCACATCAGCTGAAATCCTAAATGATACAGTATGATCTGGAGTTTTCACCAAACGTGGAGTAGCATCACTCCCCACCCGCTGTGATGTCCCAAATATCTGATCACCACTCTCAACCTGCCGAGAGTTAAACGTGACATACCTGCTCAGAACAAAGTCAGAAACCAATACATGATAATCAAACACGTATCTGAATCCCAAATATGCTATCGGATCAAATCTCACATCCACGATGTGACCAAATACTGGGTAGCCAAACATCTGACATAACCCAAAATCTGAAGTAGCTCCACCAGATCCCATATCTTTACATACAACAGTCGACAACCTATACATGAGACGGCCTAAACATGTCGTAGCCCGCACACCAATGCCAATGCTCGACATCAAACGCCGATCCTCCTCCAGAAAGGAACAGCTCTCTAAATCTGCCATCTCATCACGCCGCCTCAAAGTTTCCACACCAATGAAGTATCTCCAATTGCCGTGAGCTCGGCACAAATACAGAATAGGTCCCTCTTGTACCTCTCCCTAACATTAGACTGAAGTACCTTCACCTTTCTGCTAATACACTTCCTCCATTTGTTGCGGGCTTCTAGAACTTCACACCAATGGGACTTGGTTGCAACCTACCAATACCTAGAGCAATCCCCAACTACGGAAATTACATACCTATTACCTCCTAATAATACTCCCTTGGAAGGCCCCCGAATGCCTGAATGAACACCCCTCAGAAGACCCCTCGAATGATGGATAGAAGTGTCAAACTCCATCTCGGTCTTCTCGCTCATACCAATGGGTTCACAGGACTTCAAACTGCAGGTCATAGCACTCATTAACAACCTATGCACGGTATTACCAATCAAATAACCCAGCATCAAACAACGCCACAGTCTAGCCGAATCTGATGAAGTCGTCATCTTCCTATCAATCGTCGTGCTTCCAAGTTCACAATCATGGACCCCAATGTGACCTTCAAACATGCATCCTCCAATGTCACTTTATAGCCAGATGTCACCAAAGCTCCTAGTGAAATGATGTTCTTCGACAACTGCGGAACGAACCTCACTTCATCTAACTCCTGAATCACTCCGTCATACATCCGAATACGAACGGTACCAATACCACCAATAGAGCATGCATGTCCATTACCCATGAGCACAACATCCTCCCTTTCCAACTTCTGAAAGCTGAAGAACCAATCCCTCCTAGGACAAACGTGGTATGAAGCACCCGAATCCAATATCCACTTTGTAGAGTTGACAACACAAACTGACGGTAGTACAGACAACGAATAGCCCGAAGAATCCGAATCTGAATTGTTGCCACTAGTCTTGACAACATTCACCTCTGAAGCTTGTACAGCTTTTCCCTTATTCTTCTCGGCTCGATCTAACTTTGGGCATTCAGCTTTCCAATGTCCATCATCTTTACAAAAGGCACACTGATTCCTACGAATCCCACGATGTGCACCTCTAGACTGCGACCTCCTGCTTCGGTTTGAACCACGGCCATGAACTACTAATGCATCTCCCGATGTCTTCTTGGAGGACTCATCAACACTCTTCCTCAACTCATAATTTACCAACGCTGAGGTCACCTCCTTATAACTAACAGTAGTTCTTTCATTAATCATAGTTAGGATAAAAGTATCATAATCATCATTGGACAACGAACACAAAAGTAGCATCGCCTTGTCTTCATCCTCAATCATGATATCCACATTGGTCATGTCTGAAAGTAGCTTTGTGAAGTTGTTAACATGCTCCCTAATGGAAACTCCCCTCTTCATCTTGAACTGGTAAAACCTCTTCTTCAAGTGAAGCCGATTCTTAATGCTCTTAGTAAGATACTTTTCATTGAGTGTTTCCCACATCTTCTTTGCCGACGTCTCGTTCATCACATCATAAATAAGATCCGGTGTCAAACATGACCGAATAACTCCACACGTCCTACTATTCATCTTCTTCCAAATCTTAGCTTCCATCTAGGCAGGTTTCTCTTGTAACTCAAGAGTTTCCTCCAAATTCTGAGCGTCCAAGGCGTCCATCACCTGACATCTCCACAATCCGAAATTAATCTTGCCATCAAACTTCGGAACATCAATCTTCATGTTATTGATGCTCAAACTATGTATCGTCTTCGTAAGAGACGATCCCGATGTGCTTGTTTCACCCATGTTGTCGATCTAATCTTTAAATAGGAATCCTTCAGCGAATCCTTCAAACAAGCTCCCAAGTCCAACCCGGAGCTCTGATACCACTTGTTGTGCGCAGCAGAAATTTCGACAGCACCTCCGGTACGCAAGGTGCACAACAAGAGATTAGATCATAATAAAATTCTCGTTTCTCAAAGGAAACAAGAACAAAAAGCCAGATATCTGATCAAAGTGAGATATCAGCTCTTCCTCTCGTCAGCTCTAGGACTGTGCGTCGAGGGAACCTACAAGCTATTACAAATCACTGCAAGAACACAAATTTTACGTGGTTCGACAAATAGCCTGCGTCCACGGGGCAATGAGGGGGGAGATCTACTAATAGAGGGAGAGAATACAACTAGGGTTTACAATCACTCACAATCTAAACCCTCAAACAAACTCTCAAATCCCTCACAATATCTCTCTACAAATAAAACAAAAGGACTGCACAAAAGCTTCAACACAGCCGTAATTTGTCCTCTGTGTTTTTCACCTGCAGCCACAAAAGAATTCTCTTTGCACCTTCGTACTTGCACGCAGCCAGCCGCAAATAAGGAAAACCAAATCACAAATCTCCTTTGCACTCTGCCGCAGCCAAAAGAACACAGCAAACAATTCCTTACCTTGCACGCAACCCTAAAAAGTCCTCACACTAATATTTATAGCATGAGAGTCGGGTGGGCCTGGCCCTTTAATCACACAGAAAACGAAAAACCGAAATCACGTTGCTGCTCACGTGATTTTCCTCCCAAAACTCATGTACTCAAACTCGTGGACCCCACACCACGTTCACAAACCTCTCTTGCTTGCAAGTAAACTCCTGTTAATGGATAATTAAAATTGTGCGTCTGGCTACAGTTTAATTTTGAGAAGTTATGAACTTGAGAGACTAGCCAATACTCCCTCCCTATCCTCCACCCCCACACTCCCAGACACCCACACGCGCGTGGGCAGTGGATATGAGTTGCAACCTCATTTAGCAAAGTGAGCTACCAAGAAATAGAAACGGAAGATCCACCTGCTGCGATGTGACTATAGGGTGGGCCTCACCACCGAGCTGCCACCTCATACCCATTTTTTCTATATAAAGGGCATCGGATAAATTTTAATTATGTAGAATATTTTAAGAGTTCGTATGCTTATCTTCTACTAATTTCCATTATGGTCCATTTTAGCAAAGAAATAAGTATTTTTATTTTAATATTATTAAAGGGATCTTCATTTATGCTGACTGTCAGTTTTACTTTCAGGGATATCTCCTACAATAATTTTGAAATGGATAACTCAAGTCCTACAGAATGCCTTCAAGGGAGTGTGTAAGGATTTTCCCTCTTGGGACTTCCATTGCATTTGGCTTTTTTCTTTCCACTTTTTCACGGTGATCCTTTGTTTAATGCTTTCCAGTAACATGGCGGAAAGCTACTCTCCAGCAGTGGATATGTATGTACCTCTCAGTAGTATTAAATTCATTGTGATCCGTTGGATGTATCTATTGGTGCAAATGCAAAACATAGTTATTATAGTACTAACGTGGTAATAATTGAGTGCTTATTCCTTTTTTAGATCTACTGTTCCTTCATGTCTAAAGAGGACTTTCCCTTGCAACGATCATAAACAATGTGAGTAATTTAACTCTGAGCTCTGTCCTTGACTTTGTGGTTAGTTATTTTATACTCTTTTCTGTTGACAATATCTATCTAATTTATCACACTGCTAACAATCTTCTTATGCTAAGGAAGTGATCTTTTTTCAGTAATCTGCTTGAATCATGGCATTCCAGAAAGAGCTCGTAAATAATCATAAATATTGTGTACTCAGAGATCATTGGGTTTTTTTTAAAACATTTTTGTTACTGTGAGCTTCATGAGAAAAAGCTAAATCTGTTCTTGAATGTCATATTCTGTTGACAGACTTCAAAACAGAAGCCTTAAATACTTAAGAGGCACTAACTTGTACTGTTGCAATCTCCTGGAGCTATTAGGAACAACTCCGGTTTCCATTATTATCTAGGAGAAGCTAGCTAATATCTGATGCTAAATGTGCTCTCTTAATACATGATGCCAATAGGTGATTCCCACAGGGCTTCTATGAGATCACCAATGAAGAATCATCAATTTCTTCAATGATAAGATATGTGCTACAAAAATGTCTCACCTTCTTTGTGTCAATTCTTGGCTTTTGTGACTTGGCCTGTATTATCTGAGCTTCCTTGAAAAGTTAACCAGCATGACATTTCCACCTAGATTTCAGATAAATCCCTGGTCACAGGTGATCTTCATGCTGGAGAGACCTGGGGCATCAATCACCAACCTCTATCATCTATATATGCAAACCAAACTAGTCTTCTTGATCGTTGAATATGCAAATTTGGACAAGTGCATGTGTATAATTTTCATTAGTGGACTAGGTCAAACGCTTTGATTTTAATTCCTCAGTAAGAACAGAGCAAATTTGAATAATATAAAGTTCCTCTTTTTTCACATAGTCGGACGTTTCACAGAATTTAGATCCTCAACTTGGTTTTGTAACATTTCATAACAGACCGATATTCGTTGCACATTAATTGCGGGGGTAAAAGTACAGTTGTTAATGGGACAAGATATGAACAAGATACAGAGGAGAGAGGTGCTTCAATGCTGTTCCTAGGTTCAGGTTGGGGATTTAGCAGCACTGGCAACTTCATGGATAATGATATTGACTCTGACAACTACATTGCTTCAAATGCATCTATCTCCATGCCCAACTCGCAGCTCTACAAAAATGCACGGCTTTCTGCTATTTCCCTTACATATTATGGCCTTTGTATGCTGAACGGGAATTACACTGTGAAACTACATTTTGCAGAAATAATTTTCACAGATGACAATACATTCTCAAGCCTCGGGCAGCGTTTATTCAATGTTTATATTCAGGTAATTAACCTGTAACAGTCTTCCCTTATAGCAACTATCTGATGTACTAGATGTGATGCTCACATGAAATGAGCTTCAATATTGCTGATGCAGCTGGCGGAGCAGGAAAGCCAATTATAAAAGCTTTTACTGCATTAATCACAAGTAATACATTGGAGATCAAATTTTATTGGGCTGGAAAGGGGACAACTGCAATCCCAACTAGAGGCATCTATGGTCCTCTAGTATCAGCTATCTCTGTAACACCAGGTATGTTTGAGCTTTCTGTAGCTTTATCTTTTGTTGTTTTTTAAACTTTGCTGCACAGTTACATGTTTCCTCAGTTCAAAGCAGGTCAGTGGTAAATGATTGGCCAGAATAGTATGCTAAACTTGAGTTTTGTGATGGTCATTAGCGCACTGTGATTGTTATTATTATTTTTTCTATTATACACTTAAGACAGCATCATCTTTCTTTCCTTTCATTTGCTTTTCAGACTTTGAACCTCCTCAAGCCACTGACCATGGTATCAAAAAATCACACATCGCAATCATGATATGGACCTTAAGTGCATTTTTGATCCTCCTTATTCTGTCTGTGGCAATTTTTTGGGGCAAAAGGTTGCAAGGACACAGTTCCGTATACAGAGGTAATAAATGTGTCCCAGTAAGTTCAGAAGATTTCAGATACTGCTCAGTGTATTATTCCTTTTACATTTAAAGAGTTTATACACCTATATTGATAATTGTACAACATTATGGAAAATGTAAGAAACTGAGATTTGCACATTCTTTGAAGCTTGGATCCTAGAACACATTTTCATGTATGTTGCAATTTGTTTCAAATCTAGCAAAGTTTCTTGTTATGTAATTATAGAAATATCATATGTAATTATCTAATGATCAGTCGTAAGAACTTCAACAGCTATGGTGTCTAAGTTTCTAACATATCTAGATTTCTTACATTAAATTTGATAGCATCAGATATAAGCAAGCTTTAAGAAAATGTAAGATATTTTTGGTAAATCCACCACCTAATGATGTCTCATGCAGCAACTTCAGTTCTATCTACATCTACAGTAACTTTTTTGAAAGTGCTCTCCATAGCTACGAATCCTTTTATCAATGTCAAATGTACTCACTGTGTGCACAGTGTATAATTGTTTGGATCACTTATATGCTTGCTCAAACCATAAAGTGTACAATATCTCACAATTGTTGGATAAGGTTCGCGTGTTACCCTTCCATCCAAAGGAAAATTCTATGTTGTAAATATGGAGGATTGCATAATCCTTCTACAGAGAGGAAATACTGAACTTGCCTCCTCTGGAAGTTAACCAAATAATGCTTCAAAGGAACATATGATGCAAATCTTAAACCAACACTTGTCTCCATCCTCTAGTGGATGGTAGTAAGATTCATGAATGTTTCTTGAGAATGTCAAGTGAGATGCCACAATTCATGCTTCATGACAAATCAAAGTACAAAGTTCCATCTTTTTCTTTTCTTCATTCGAGCTCCATGTTAATACTTATTCTTCTCTCTTGTTTTTCTTTTTGTTATCCAATTTTCCTCGACGTTTAGCTCTGAATGATGGACAGATCCCCTTCCTGGTGGGCTAACATTTTGGAGAAAAAGTGGGTTCCAATAATTAACCTTTCTATAATTACTAGTATATTCCACGTGCTTTGTATGTGGATTCAATTGTTTTATATTTTGAATTTTTTCCGTTGACCAGAAAATAGTGAAGTGATTTTAATATCAATATAAATTCCTAAATTGCATATTTAGAATTTTGTTATGATAAATGAAATTGTACAAATAAAATTGTGTATAAGGAATTGTATGGCTAATTATTATATCTAGACAATTATTACAATTTAATAATAATTATGAATAATTATAACATACTACATACTTATTTGATATTATAATATATCTCAATTATTATAATAATACAATTGTAATTTAGGAGAATTATAATAAATTATTATCTTATTTTATAACTATTAAATAACTATTTAATTAATAGAATAATTATTAACTTATATTGTAATTCATAATTTAAGTAATATTATTAAAATAATTACACTATTTATATTGTATTGTTATACTATTTATTAAAATAGTATAAGTCTTCGTAGTACTTAATAGCATATTATTTTATTATTATAAGTTATTAATTATAGATTTTGGGAAAGTGAGGTGGTGCATAGAGGTATGTGTAATTAGTGAAGGATTAATTATAGATAATGACATAATTAGGAATTATTAAATTTGAGAAGGTAAAAAAGACAATCAAAAGTTTTGATATAGCAATCCTCTTCTATAAGTAGTTAAGATTAAATATTTTCTAACTTTGTTGAATAATTTGTTTTACTTGTTAGAATATTGTTTTACATGCTATTTAAAAGAAAGTGCATTAATTCTGTGGCATAGAAGTGTGACGTCAAAAGAGAAGTAAAGCCAAAAAATTATAATGAATATAAAGATGAATGAAAAAAATGACATGGGAAGCTTACTTAATAGTGTGAATCGATTAAATAAAATGCTATGAGTGTATTTTATCTCTTAATAGCATGCAATAATGAGTTGTTTCTCCACTTTGAAACAGAGAAAAAACTTATTTTTTAATGATAAGGAGAATATAACTTATATGTATTGTTTTCAATACCTTCGATATAGCTGATATATCAAGCCGATATATCCTTTTACAAGTCATGCTGCAAAATAGTATGGTCTCAATATTTTTTAACACTTTTTGGTAAATTCTGGGCAATATATCCCCAACGTGACCAATATATTAGCCTATATGCTGACCGATATTTTCTTTTAAATGGTTTTTCACTAAACAATATAGTCCTTCAGAATTTATTTAATGTTTATAGAAAAATGCCAGGCGTAGCAAATCTTTTAGAAAATTCTAGTAGACTCTTCTCCTAAGTAAGTTTCTATAGTTGGTTAGTGATCCTAAACATATGTTATTTATATTTTTGTATGCTTAGATTGTTTTAAATATTGTCTAGATTACATTTTAGGATATCAAATTGTATATGCACGTCATTCGACATGACACTCTGATATTTACTGTATGTCCACGATATTTCCCTGACATGCGCACTCAAAAATGGATTTTGGATGTTCAATATTTCTCGATATTCGCTATTTAAAGCCATCCTCATATGTAGAAAGGAAAGAGAACTCATTTAACTACATTAATTACATCATGCTTAGAATGGCGGCCTCCCTATGTTGTATGAAAATGCCTTCTACCAGGTCTTTTGAAATTTCTTTTTATGTGATAAAGTTGTTCTTTTGATCGTTTAGGATAAGATGCACAAAGAATTTATTGATTAGAATAATAGATATAAGATATATATGAAGTGGAAGGAAGAGAACAATGATAAGTATAATGGGAAGAGATGAGAGAAAAGATTAAGTAGAAGAAAACTAATATTGTTTCTAATGAATGGGTCACACTATTCTGAATCAATCGTCTATTCCTGTGTAAGGTGATGTAATACTGGGAAGATGATGCAGACGACATAAAGTATATGCATTTATAGGTTTATTCCAAAACATTTTTATTTCATTCATTCCTAATGTAGGAATAGCAAGAAAGAGCGACACAATCCTAATGATTGATCAGAAGATATAAAGAGATTTTTTGCCGCCAAGAGTCCCAATATTTTGTAATTGATGATGGAATTGGACTGGGGAAACAGTCGGCGAGAATATGATCCCAAATACAAATAGTGTAAGAGCAACGAGGGAAAATGTGATCATTGGACTCCAGACAATTATATCAAAAATAACATGTAGGATGATATGCCCAATTCATCTTGGCAAGATTATCGATGTTGAGCAATCTACCATATATTGCTTACTCATATGAAGAATTTTGACATAGAGCAAAGAGGTTGCAGACTCTAATTGATAGAGAGAAGGATTGATTTAAAAATCATTATTAAAGGAGTAGTAAAAATGTTTACTGTAAAGACACTCTTTGTAGTAAACTTTCAGGTTCGAACATCATGTCCTTAGGTGCAAATGTGTGGATTTAAGATATTGAGTAGTGGTTGCAAGTCTGAAAGCAAATAAGATAGTGGACACTGTCTAAATTTTGGATTCAAAACAAGCTAGTTATCAAGATCTTCACTGGAGAGGGGATGTGGTCTCTAATATTTTGTGTAATTCAAAAGAATCTAGAAAAGCGGGATGTAAGATCACTATTTCCAATCCAATGATCCAAAAGAATGTAGTAGTTGTCGAGCAAGGTAGACGCCCTCTTTGATATATAAAATTTTTGTATCTATATTGGATTTTCTTTCATGCAACTCAAAAAACAGAATAGCCCAACCTAATCACCAATCAAGCGGCATGTGAGCACGGATACTCATAACTAGGACACGCTCAAAGTGCTTGTTCCTAGTATGATCTAATTTTGCTAAGACTCTGAATCTGCCAAAAAAACTCAATAGCTATTTACCCTCTTCTTTGGAGGACTCTACTAGCGTGTATCAGCCCTCGTCTTCTGGAACAATTTCCTCCACTATTCCCTTTGATTTTGGAATGGATAATCATACTCACTTTGAGAACACTCCTTCTAAATGGAGATTACATGATAGGAAATGAGGCCTGACACATCCCAAATACAATGCCTTCTAGAACAGTTGTATTGCATGGGTCTTGACCCATGAATAACCACTATCAATAAAAAATCTCTATCGTTTAGAGAGAAGTGAGATATTAGATTGTTTGAGATGAACGATACTAAGACCTTCGACCGCTTTACTGCTACACACCTTCTCATTACACAAGCAAAATGCACCAGTAACCTCACTTTTCCCTTTCCAAAAAAGTCTCTACAATGTGATCAACGTGTTTTATTTTATAACCCTACTTGGAAGCTAATAGAATGATATGTAGTAAAGTTGGAGTGAGATAAGCGCGAAAGTAACGAGAATTAACTAGCCCTCCCTAAAAAAGTGATGATGCTTTCCAAAAGACTAGTCATATATCAACCTGATCCATAAGAGGTTACCAATAGGAATGAGACTTTGTTAAAGGCTTGATCAGAATTATCAAATAAGTGAATGGAAATCTACTAAGGTTGCATTGGAAATTTATAGTAGTAAGTTGTTAGGGCACGATTCTTACCTTATGGGTAGAGCTAGAGATGCTGCAACACTGAAATCCAAATTACTTTAATAATGTTTCACGTAACTAAGAATCATTTTGTACCTCTTCTCATCTATTAGGAATTAAATGCTTCCTTAGAAACTTAACGTTCTAGTGCGAGTTTTTAACGATGAAGATTTTGTGCTATCATTAATATTCTTATTTAAAGAGCATGATTTCGAAGAGTTAAACAACATAATCTCTCTCAATCCAGGAACCAAATTTCGGGCCAAAACTTTGTACCATTTCGGTTTTGTAAAGTATCAATCCGATGCATGCTCTAAAAATCCATATCATCTTGATAACAATAATAGTGTTAACATTTTAGTCTATATCGTTCATGTCTTGCCTTATAGATGGCAAGCAACCAAAGTTTTAAATGTCGGATGTCGGGTTCATGTCGGATAGCTGAAATCCATATCGGGTAGCGGAAATCGGGGATAATATCGGAAGACATTGACTAAATATCGGATTGTCATATCGGGTAGTGCGCATATGTATAATATCATGTCCTAAATATAAGACATTGACTAAATATCGGATTGTCATATCGGGTAGTGCGCATATGTATAATATCATGTCCTAAATATAATCTAAGCATTCATAAATTCAATATAAGCATACTTTATAAATTCTATAGACTAAACATATAAAAGAAGTAAATAATATATGGATTTGGGTTTATAAATTCTTTCTATTGGGTTCATAAGAAACCCTTAAGCATGAGAACGGGTCAAACGAGTTTGAGTATTTATCACTAAATCCAAACCTGATAACAAAAAACAGATCTTAAAAAAAAGTATCATATCGACCGATTTTTCAAAGCTAAAAAATAGGCCGATATGTCCGAAATGACCCTGATATTTTCGATTTGGCCCTGAAAACTGACATACGAGTTGAAAACGTTCATGTCGTGTCGGTCAAAGCCCTCAAACCGATATGTCGGACATGTCGGCCGATATTTAGAACCCTGCAAGCAACTAGTCTCATCAGCAGTCTGGTTTTGATTTGTTTATCAATTTCTTAAGTTTCAGTCAGAAGATACCAGACATGCTGGAATTCAGTGAAAATTTTAATAATAAAGAGTGAAAAATAGAATTGCAAATGTAACCTATCTTCATACATAGAAACATATATGACCAATGCAAGCTCGCGCACATGCACACACAAATTATATTAGTGATGCAAACACACACACATATATATATTGCCATATACGCATATGAACCATACATGTGCCATACACATTAACCTTGAGAAGAAACCTTCCGAAGCGAAAAGACCTATTAAAACCTTCCTACCTTGAATTGCTGAAAACTGAGTTTGAAGCCAACTTCCAAAACTGTAGAATTTTATAGCTCATTAGTTAGAAGAAGTGATGGGAGTGGAGGTAGGCCTGAGAGAACTTGTTTAGGAGGAATTAAGAAGGATATGATAGTGATTAGCTTAAAGAGGGGATACAAGCTTTGTTGAAAAATAGGATTTATGTAGCGGACCCCAAAAATTTGTGATGAAGTCTTCGTTGTTGTTTCAGCCAAGTTGGATAGGTAAACAAGTGCATTTGAGTCTTGATACCTTCATTCTCATGAAAGCTGTGGGCATTGGCGAAAGTCTCAAAAAAAATGTATCTGACCTCTATTTTCCTGTCATCAGTGGAATATACCACATTTAAAGCTCACATGAAGAATACCTGCTCGCAGGAAAACTTGCCAGTTCAAGGTCCAGCTCTAGTATATGAAGAATATGATATCTGGAAAGAAAAAACATATAAGTCTCCTTGACGTAAAGAAAAAACATATAAGTCTCCTCGACGTTCACGATGTCACAGATAAACCAGCTCTATGTTCCAAAATAAGACATTTAACTTTTTCATATTTTGGTTAAATAAAATAACAAAATATCAAAGAAGACAGGCTCAATTCCAGCATAAATTTTGTGTTCTTATCAATACTTTCCTTCATATTGGATAAAACAACAATCTGAGGATTTGTCCATACTCTCTGATCCTGATCCAACACTTTGTGTCCCCCTGTAAAAAGTGCCCTTTACATCAAGGAAATATTTGTATATCTTTTTTTATCACTTTTTCAAGACATCAGATATAGGAGAGTTAAGCTTTCCACTGTCGCATTCCGATGTATGAATCAACCATGGTCACAATACTAAATTATTATTATTATTTTTTTTGCTTGCTTGTGCTTATAGACACCATTCTAGAAACCATGTGCTTCTGACTTATAGTTGGACAAGGAAAGAAATCTTGGGATTTGATCAGGAGAGAACCTTTATATGTTTCTTGAGTTTGTACACCTTCACTATCCATGTCAGTTGTACATAATTCTCACATTATGCTTTTTTCCCCTGGTTCAACTGCTCTACTAATATTTATTCTTTCAGTGTCAGGAAATTTTCAATGTGCACCCAGATCTTAAGGGAAGGGGAAAAAAGAAATTAAGACAGCAGTCTTGTCATTATGTCTTATAGTTTCTTAACTATGTTGATTTTGTACGCCTTTAATATCATGCCAGGTTGTAGGAAAATATATTGTACTCATTTTCCTAGTCTAACTATCTGATGTATTCTTCATTTTCAATGCCAAGATGCTTTCAATATGAACTGAGATCTTAAGAAAAAATTTCCTTGTGGTTGCTGGTTGCATATGAATGTTTTACCTGTTCTGCAGTGTTTAAGTTTAGTTGGTAGTGCTGTTTTCTGCATATATCAAGTTGAAGAGGAGATAGACAGACTTCATTTTACAATTTCCTGTTCAATAATTGATCATTTTTTACTAGATCTCGAAGGTCTTGATCTGCAAACTGGCTCTTTCACCTTGCGGCAAATTAAAGCAGCAACCAGAAACTTTGATGCTGCAAATAAGATTGGTGAAGGTGGTTTTGGTTCAGTTTACAAGGTAGCAAGAAAAAATCTGCCTCTTTATGTAACTCATATGCAAAACATACCCTTTACTCACTTCACTACTAAAATATATGTTTTCAAATATAGGGCATGTTATCCGATGGCACTATAATTGCTGTGAAGCAGCTTTCATCAAGATCTAAGCAAGGGAGCCGTGAATTTGTGAATGAAATAGGCATGATATCTGCTCTGCAACATCCAAATCTCGTGAAGCTTTATGGATGCTGCACAGAAGGCAACCAATTATTGCTAGTTTATGAATACATGGAAAATAATTGTCTTTCTCGTGCCCTTTTTGGTAAATTATTACTCTAGTCAATAACTTTTTACTGCCACAAGTTGGTTCCTTTTATTAATTATTAGCATGCCTTTTAGGCAAGGATCTGGAATCAAGAATGAAACTGAATTGGGCTACAAGACGCAAGATTTGCCTTGGCATAGCTAGAGGTCTTGCCTATCTTCATGAAGAATCCAGACTGAAAATTGTCCACAGAGATATTAAGGCTAGCAATGTTTTGCTTGATGGAGATCGCAATGCCAAAATATCAGACTTTGGCCTGGCTAAGCTCAATGAAGATGACCGAAGTCACATTAGCACTCGAGTAGCTGGAACAATGTAAGTCTCTCTTCTTGATCTCTTCAGGAGATTTATTTATATTCTATAAAGATGAATAATATCTAAAATGGTGTTTATAGGAAGTTATGATAGCAGCAGTCTACTAGATGTAAAATAATCTGCTGGATTGGCTTGTTAATGCACGTTTAATGATACATACCTTGATACTGATTTCTTTAAATAACTTTCTGCAAATCTCAAATCAAATATAAAACAATGTTCATTTCTTTTGAATTATTTTCCATTTATACCTATGAGATGAGCTTCATGTGTCCATCGCAGAGGTTACATGGCTCCGGAATATGCAATGCGAGGTTATTTAACTGATAAAGCAGATGTATACAGCTTTGGAGTAGTTGCTTTAGAAATCGTAAGTGGAAAGAGCAACACAAATTATCGACCAAAGGAAGAATTCGTCTATCTCCTTGACTGGGTAGTTCAACTCTTTCAAGCCTTTATGCTCTAATTTTCATTACAACATGTTGCTAGTTAGTAATTGACTGATAGTTTTGATGATTTCTCCATTTAATGGGGTTAATTGCACATAAACCCCTGTATTATTGCCATTTTCCACTTACTACCCTTGCAGTTTCACTAAGATAGCCCACTATATTAAATTCTTCTGACTCTTTTACCATTGGTGAATTGTTTGGCATATATTTCCCTTAGGTGAAATTAGTCACCTCCATCTAAAGGTAAAAGAGTCAAAAATAAATTAAACCCTGGCGATCTTTTTGCAACAATGAAACTACATGGATAGTAAGGTCAAAACAATGATACTACAGAGGGTCTACGTGCAAGCTATGTTGCATGGGTGTAGGTATGGGTATGGATACCGGTTCGGGTATGTATACGGGACAATGCAAATTTGTAAAAGGTAGGGTAAGGGGACAGAGATATACAAATATTTATATGCATATATATTATATTGGAATTAATAATTTATATGAGAAAGGGTGAGAATTAAAATTCCTATAATATTTTCATGTTTCTTTTATTATGTCGATTATAAATTGGAAAATCACTAGTTAGTGAACTAAAAACCTAATTTACCCTTCAAAATCATAATTCGAAACCTAACATATGTCCAACAAGTTTCAAAAAGTGGATATGATGCATGGGATATATGTCCAAAAAATGTATGATTAATATGTTGGTTGGGGAGGCTTAGTTTTTGTTCAAACTAGCTTTTAAGCTAGCTTTTTCTTTTCTACCCGTTTGGTAAAATAATAGATAAGTTGTAAGTGTCATTTTTAAAGGCTGGTGTACCCCAGCTTTTAAACAACTAGCTTATAAGCTCACTTATATAAGTTAGGTTTGACCAAACAAATTACAATTCTCCCAAACATTTTTTATACTATTTTATCATAAAAGCTAAAAGCAACTAAAACCAACATAACTTATAAGCTTTAAAAAGTAAGCCTTCCCAAACACCCTCTTAAGTGTTTCAAATTAAAACGTGTAGAATATATGTCCAAAAAATGTATGACAAATGTTTTAAATTAAGACATGTCTTATATAATTGAATACATGCCTGAATAAATGTGTGCATATATGCAAGGAGTGTCCAAGGAGTTTGGGTAGTAGTTTATGGGTATTGCTTCAGTAACCCTTGTGTATAAAACTAATAATTGACCAATAATTTTGTCATTTGTCCAATTTTGGTAAAACCAGGCTTGTGTTCTTCAAGAACAAGGGACTCTTCTCGAGCTAGTGGATCCAGAACTAGGATCAAATTACTCTGAGGAAGAAGCTATGATAATGTTGAATGTGGCTCTTTTGTGCACAAATGCATCTCCAACACTTAGACCTTCAATGTCCAAAGTAGTGAGCTTGTTGGAAGGACATGCACCCCTTCGACCCTTACTCTCTTCCTTGAGCTTTTCAGCAAATGGTTTCAGCAGTAATGGAGTACGGCGAAATTTTTGGCAAAACCCTAGTCAGAGCCAAACCATGTCTCTAGATGAGTTGGCTACTCAGTCCTCTGGTCATACGTTGGTTCAAGAAGAATGGTGATGCTTGTAATCAACTCCTAAAAGCTTCGGTTAATAATAAAAGTTGAATGTAATTGTGATTGTGTTGTGCGTCATGTTTGAGTAAGTGTATATATTCGGGGTACTATGTAACTGTTTATAAATAAATTGGTCTTTTGTGATCATTTCAGGTGATAATTTTGAGAATGTAGTTGCTGATGAAATCATATTTAAAATTTTGCAGTTTTGTATATGGCTTTGTGTTGTGCTTCACAGATGGAAAATAGTTTTCTTTAACAAAATTCACTACTTTGTGGAGGTTCCATACCCTACTTATTTTAATGAACTTGGACATTCCATAATTGACTACATGAAGATTTATTGCGCTATTATTGAATGATTCATCATCATTGGCTAAATTACCATATTCGTATTTTAATTAGACCCCCTTTACTAATAGGGCGTTTTCAATGGGTAATTTTACATTAAGGCACTTTGAATGGGTCAAAGATGCAATAACACCCCAATTTTCGTTGGTGGCTAATTCTTCCGTGAGAAACTGTTATTTTTTGCTAGAGTTTTTTTTAATCTCCTAACCTCTGAAAATTATTGAATCTACACTAAATCTACTCTTCCATACTTATAAGAGGATCCAAAGAATCATTATTATGCTACAGTAACTAGTTCCTGTGAACAGTAAATCAACCGCAGTCAGTCTGTTGCAACACATTACTGTACCGGGAACAGTAAATCAATATTTTTTGAAGTTACTGTTTATGTTACAGTATTTTACTCTGTCATAAACAATAGATAAAATCAAAGGTATTAAAATTTAGATCATCCTCTAAGTATAAAGGGAGTAGATATGATTTCTAAATCAAATGTATTAAAACTTGAACCCTCCTTTTAAGTATAGAGGCGTAGATATAATTTGTTATTTTAAGCATACAATAATCAAATTAAATGAATTAAAATTTAGAGGGAGGTAAGCTTAAAATGCAATACTTAAAAAAATAGGGGTCGTGCTTTGCTGCACACTAGTATATCATAATGTGGCAAAAGAGAAGACTTTA